CCCCCCCCCTAATTATGTTTTAATATCATCTAATTACAGGTTGTCCTGACCAGTAATTAATTAATTAGCAAACAAATAAAATGAGATGGAATTAAGCAATAAATGGATAAATACTGAAGAATGCTTCTTCCATATCAATACTAATCACTTGAGATTCACACGTTTCCCCCCTTGAATGTATATATATATGTGTGTGTATATATACACACATATGACATGTGTATGTATATGTTCTGTTCAGAATCTGTTTGTAGCATTTCATAGCTGGATCATTCATGGCATTCCGAATCCCAAGACGGAAAATTTTGAAACTTTTTTGGTATTAGTTTATTTGTTCTTTGTTTTTTCCCTTATAAAGCTAAGCTCGAATTTATTGCCTTTTGGTTACTTTTTTCCTCGTATCTTCTGTTTCTACAAAAAAGCGGTTTTTATCTTTTTTTTTTTAAGATCAAGAGAGCTGGTTACTTCCTCTTCTTTATCTGAATCATTTTCTCTTTGGGTTTTTTTTAATCTCCTTGGTTTTTTTTTCTGGGCATTTAATCAAGTGACGGAGGTTCCAGATCTGTTAACGTCGTGGTCATGGGATTTTTGTGACGAGGTGGTAGCTCTTGTCTTTTTCTTCTTTCTCCTTTCTGTTGTGTGTTCGGTTTGAAATTGGAGGTTCCTGGGATTTCAAAACCAAAAAAAAAAAAGGCGGAGAATTTCTTTTGGATTTTGCGCATTATAAGATTTGGAAAATTTCTGGAGAGTGGGAGAATGGGTCATCACGCAGCGGTGTGGGATCATAGAGCAGCCACTGAGATAACCAAAGACTGGAATGGGATTGACCAGGTCGTTCTCAGAAACCCCCATGGAGCTTCGGCTCGAGTGAGACTCTCTCTCTCTCTCTCTCTCTCTCTCTCTCTCTCTCTGTGCATAGTTGAAAAAATTGTCCTCTAAATCGTTGTGGGTTCTTAAGTTTGTTCTCTGGGTTTGGATTTTTTTTTTTGTCTACAGATTAGTTTACATGGAGGTCAAGTGATTTCCTGGAGAAATAATGAGCAAGGCGAAGAACTTCTTTTCACCAGCAGCAAGGTACGGGAAAACCCTACCTTATGTAATTACTGAGTGATTTCCTGTTTCAGTATGAAAAGTTCGAAACTTTGAGCCAAATCTTTTCTGGGTCGACGAAAGATTTGTATTTTTTTCCCTTTTCTTCGACGCAGTTGAAGAGCACTAACAATCTGATAGAAACTCCAGTCTGGAAAGTAGAAGTAATGCGTGTTAATTTGTCAAATCAATGAAGAAAGACTGGAACTCTGCATTTCTTTTGGTTCAATCTACAAGTTTCCAAGCAAATCTAATAGTTGTTTTCATATCATTGCTTTGCTTGAAAGGCGATCTTCAAATCCCCGAAAGCCATGCGTGGAGGAATCCAGATTTGTTATCCACAGGTATTGCTCTCTGAAATCCCTGAAAACGTTTTCAAAAAAACTATTCTGGGCCCTGCATTGATGTTCGTTATCATGTTCTTGTTGAAAGTTTGGAGACTGTGGATCGCTGGATCAGCATGGGTTTGCAAGAAATAAGATTTGGGTGATTGATGATAGTCCCCCTCCTCTTCACCCAAATGAATCCCTAGGGAAATCCTTCGTCGATCTTCTGCTGAAACCTTCTGATGAGGACTTGAAGCAATGGCCCCATAGGTGAAAGAAACTTTTCCTTTCAGTCTTTTTGTCTGTTCCATCGATGACAATGTTGTCTTCTTGTGATTTATGTCTGTTTCTGCAGTTTTGAGTTCCGTCTTAGGGTGTCGCTCGGAGCAGACGGGGACCTGACATTGATATCTCGAGTGAGGAACATCAATGGCAAACCCTTCAGCTTCTCCTTCGCTTATCACAGTTACCTGTCTGTTTCTGACATTAGGTGCGTTCAAAGAGAATATTAGCACATGGAGATTGATGCTTGTGTTCCAACCCAGGTTCTGACTGACTTGTTCATGTATTCTTCTTTTTTGTAATGAATTTGCAAATACCACAGTGAAGTCAGGATTGAAGGCTTGGAGACACTGGACTACCTGGACAATCTCTGCCGTAGAGAACGTTTCACAGAACAAGGAGATGCTTTAACGTTTGAATCCGAGGTAAAATGTCAATGGTTATGCAGTAGAATGCAAACTGAAAGTATCGTTACCGGGTTGAATCGGGTTTTTCAGAGAGATGTTGTATTGGACAGGTGGACCGGATATACCTCAGCTCGCCAAAGGTGGTGGCAGTGCTTGACCATGAACGCAAGAGAACTTACGTCATCCGAAAGGAAGGGCTACCAGACACTGGTGAGAACAGGAGCCATAGCTCTCTTTCAGCTTATGCCCATCAACTAAAACCAGTACAACCTCGAAAAAATTCTATCTTTTTATCGGAAGCTCTGACTCGTGTAAAAGTGATGCAAATCTGTGTGTGAACGTTGTATCGGCTCGTTTCGTTTAATGGAATGGTTCACTTTCTGTCCCATGCCATCTCCTCGTTGATATTTTTGGCAGTTTTCTGTTTACTACCAGATGCTTCCGTGTTACAGTCATGAACACTCTTGTCTGAGATTTGTTCTTCCCTCGGTTCGATCAATGGGCTTTTGACAATGATAAATCTACAATAACATAACGTGCAAACCTGAATGTGGCATATGATGATGGTGAAGTGGTGTGGAATCCATGGGAGAAAAAGTCAAAAACAATGGCGGATTTCGGGGACGAGGAGTACAAACACATGCTCTGTGTGGATGGTGCGGCCGTGGAGAGGCCGATAACCCTGAAACCGGGGGAAGAGTGGACTGGCAAGCTCAAGCTGTCGGCTGTTCCTTCGAGCTTTTGCACCGATCAGCTCGAACTTCAGAGAAAAGGGTTCTGATCAAAGGAGAGTGCTTTTGTTCCTCTTTTGCAGCTTCTGTTGCCATCCGGAGATTATTGAATGGGATGAGGGGGAAAAAACTTTTTTTTTTCGGCCTTTTTATGAGTTGTTTATTCTCAGTAGGGAAGTTGAAGTTGTGAGCCGGTGGTTTATCAGACCGGCCTTTGATGAAACATGTAACGAGCCTATGCTTTTTTTGTGTCGGGCAATGTCTATATCATATGAGATGACCGTTTTCTTCCTCATGCAACTGAAAAGTTCCAATCTTTAGAATGATCCTGAAAATTTTTACTCTGGGTAATGTCGAGATTCATCATTTACGGTCGGATATAATGTGTTTCTCTAACTGATTGGTCTGAAGTTACTTTTCTTCACGCCTTCTGGATTCAGACATTACCATAATGCAGTAGGAACTCAGAGACTTGAAACTGAAATGGAACTCCACAAAGTCACGTCTTGAGAATTTCAAACCCTCTGTTCCCATGCTGGTTTTGGTTGGATGCTCAAAATTTGGATGACAGGGAATTCTCCTACTCGAGTTTCAACTCAGTATGATGCCGAAAAGTTTCGTTAATTTCAAATTTTACACCCTTTGCTCGAGTTTATCATGTTCCCCGACGATACTCCAGCTGCTTGGTGTTGTCCTTAAGCACCTTCGAAACCATTAGAACCAAAAAAGAATCAGCAATAAACGCTTTGACAAAAAAAACCCGAGAAAGACTCGCAGATATATTTCCGTTTGTACCTCACGGATTCTTTCTGCAATGGCCTTGCAGCCCTCAATCGCTAGAGCGAACACTGTTTCAAATGTGTCCATCGGCAACTTGGCATCCATCTACCATACCAAAGGGTGAAACTTTCAGACAAAATCAGCGGCTTCCGTTGTATCACCACGGGGAGTAGATTACAGACAATACCGAGAAACTTTGAAGGGCGAGAGTTTTTAGAAACAGAACCTGAAGGAGTGTCACTTTGTCTAAGTTGGGTAGAAGACCAACAGATACATCAGGGCCACCGGCACTGTCTTCAACATAGTTCAAATCTGTTTTTAGGACAGAACATAACATAAGAAAGAGGATCACTGCCTTGAATTGTGAAACAAAATATCTTTGTAGGGAGGATTCGAGAAAAAAAAAACAAACATCAAGAATTTACCTAGAAGGGGAGTGCTATTCAAGTATCCTGCACAACAGGAGGCCACAATATCACGCATAGGAATCCCGGCATCTGCAAGAGCTAGAGTTGCGGCATTGATACATGCAGATCTCGTACCTGAGAGTAATGTCACAGAATTAATCATATTCCTAAATAGTAATCAAACAACAAAATGGTGTCGTTAAAGAACTAAGAGTTACCCCCATCGGCCTGTAGAACCTGAACAAAAATGTCAATCTGCAGAAAGAAATGATCGATCAGAAGAGAAAACGCTATTCCAAATTGATCAGAAAGTTTTTTAAGCACTGGAATGGAATGTGACCTGAGAACGGGGCATTAAGTGTGTCAAGATGCAGGTTTCCATTGTCTGACGGATAACAAGTGATAGCTCCGTTGAACGTCTGAACATATACATAAAATTTACTGTCTTTCATGCTGTCTAACCCGAACATTCAGATAACACATAATTTTCCGAGAAAAAGTGAAGAGATTCAGTGCAGAAAATGTAACCTGTCGCCCTTCTGTCTTCTACGGTCTCCAGTACTGAAATGAGCCATGCTATACTCACACCGCACCTACAATATACATGGTTGGAGGAGCATAAGCAGAAATGTTCAAACGAAAAGCAATTCCACGTGAACGATACCAAAGATCAACATACATACCAAGGCATGATCAGCGATTTGTTGGCTCTTATTTTGAATCTGTAAAAAGGAAAGATGAAGACAGAGATACATGTAAGCATCAATCTATGCATATCAAACCACAGACAAACCATTTGACTGGATTGACTGCAAAGTACAATAAAATAGCAACCCCAATTGGATATGAAAGGTGACTGGATGGATACCTCCCTCGGACCATAAACTGCAGCAATAACTTTTGTATTACCCATCTCAAAAACAGCAGAACTGAAAATTTTTTAAAAGAAAAACCCATTATAGAAGTTTAAGTTTTCATATGGATGCTAAAACAAAAGACAAGGAGATGACAAGGCAGGACTGTATGCATTTACCCATCAGCCTTAGAGATTACACGGATTTCAGCTCGGATCTGCCTCATCTGAGGTTCATAAGCAATTAAGCATCAAGAAATAACAGATTAACTTAAAAGGTGAAAAAGGGACAGTTCAATGGCTGAAACAAACATAAGACAAAAATCCAAAGACCAAAATACAGGAAGAGGGTATACTTCATTGAAGCGGCGACCATCTAAGCGAAGTCCTTCCGGGTTGACATACTCCATTGTTGCGATTTCTGCAGAAAGATGGGATGAGGGAACTATAATCTTTTCACAAAAACTATGGCAAAAACTGGGAAAAATCAACGCACAATCCAAATGATTTACAGAAACACCATCCAAAACATGGGAAAATCCATTATTTGAATACGGAAAAGCAAAACAAACACAAGTTTGTAGCTTTCCTCATTCTACAAATAATCAATGAAAAAGTTTGTGATGGAGCTAATGGATTTTGATTCGAGTGTATAGGTTTGGCTCCGGTTCAACAGAGACTAAGAACCCAGTAATATCACAAAATTCTAAAGCGATCAATAACATCAAGCTAACGCCGCAAAGATAACACCCATCATTACGCAGGGACGTAATCGATCATGCTGTACATTCAGAGTTTAATTGAAGAATCTGCCTACTGTTCCAACAAAGCTTCTACCTTTATGCCCTAAACTTGTCCCTGAGACTGATACAAAGCATCCAATCTCCTAATTTGATCCCAAGTTTCTCCATTTTACCAAGACAGTCCAGCGCAAACACACTAAAAATAAAATACCCAGTATCTAACAAAACCTTCAAACATGAGCGCATGAAAGAAGACGAACACACGGGTAGGCTTAAAAATCAAAGGTTAGAAAGAGAAGATGATATAACTCACTGGTAAGAACTAAGCCCCGGCGGCAAGATAGAGAGTCTCCGTGAGGTTATGGCTCGTGAAGAACTGAAGTTGCGTTTAGTCTGGGATATATGCGATATTAGACTTTCGCTAAAATGGACAGAACCCAGAATCGTGTCAGTCTCAGCATTCAAATATCAAACCAGAAAAACGAACACCAAAAGCGTAAATCTTTAGATGTCTAGAATCAAACCCAGAAACCCCTAATCCAAAAATCGAAAACAGAAACCGGGGAAGCGTAATCGGGAGAGGGATGCGAACCTGAGCAAAAAGAAATTGCTTTACAATCCCCACTTTGTTAACGAAGCCTCGGTGTTGCTTCCGCGGCGAAGGGGGAAACACAGAAACATGAACGCAGAGTATAAATCCACTGGACGAAGCAGAGACTTTAGTTAACCGGAACTCAATCTTTGCTTCCGACGTGGCGAGCAGTGTGTGTGATAACATTGACTATTCTTTTTTTTACGGGTGTGAATCTCTTGTAAATCTGTAAAAAATAGGTTAAACAATTAGTATTTTATATTCACCATATATTTTTCTTTTGTATGTGTATCGCTGTTCAGATATTCAATATATAATAATGTATATTGATGGAATAAACGAAATAAAAAAAATAATAAAATAATGTAAAGGAATGAAAAAACGTAAATTTGGGGTGCGAGATTGGAAAAATCCGATTTTAACACCTTAGTATAGAATACTCGGTTATCAAAAACAAAAGTTCGGTTTTTAACCTTTTCCAACATATTAATTTTTTACTGTACCTCTAAATATATAGTTTCACATGGTTTTATTACTCACATAAGTAGTTATTTTTGTAATAAATAAATAAATAAAGTATGAAAAAGGAATGACCAAAATAGAGTCGACGGTATATAAAAAAAATCTCAAATACAGCTGATCAGGTTTAAATCAGTCTAAATAAAACGGGCATACATTGATAATGAATGAAATATGGTAAATGTATAAACATGTTTTAGCTAATTTTGAATTATGGTGGGAAAATATGGAATTAGGTCAAAAAGAGAGGGAGATAGATGCCACGTCACCATAAAACCGGCGCGCGAGTATCGGACCAACTGAAATTTCTCGCCACCCGTCTCGCCCATCTCTCCATCAACGGCAACCTCTGTCCTCGATTCCAACGTTCGAATCTCTTTGAACCCACGTTCGTTTTCTCCTCCTCTCTCCCTCTCTCTCTACCGATTCAAGATTCCTTCCTCCTCTTTCATCTCTCTCCTTCGATTTCAATCCTCTGTCTTCTATTCTGATTATAGAATCAGACAGGAGAATCTGAATCCGTCTGCAGAGACGGACGAAGAAAAATGGGAGATAATGGGATGAACCCAGCTCTCCAAAAACCACCTGGTTTCAGAGACCCGAACATGGGTGGTGGTCCGCCGCCGGGAATCAGACAGCCGGCGAGGAAGCAGGCCCTTCCGACAACATTCCGACCGAAGAAGAAACGCCGGAACTGCTGCATGCCATGCTGCTGCTGTTTCTGCGTCACCCTCCTCCTCCTCATCTTCGTCCTCGTCGTGGCCTGCGGCGTCTTCTACCTGTGGTTCGACCCGAAACTCCCAACCTTCAGCCTCGCCTCCTGCCGACTCGACCAGTTCAAAGTCTCGGCCGATCCCGACGGCGCGTCGCTCTCCGCCAACGCCGTGGCGCGCGTCGAGATCAAGAACCCCAACTTGAAGATCGCGTTCTACTTGGGCGACACGGACGTGGACGTGACCGTGGGGCAGGGGAACGACGAGACGGGGCTCGGGTCGGCGACCGTGCCAGGGTTCAGACAAGATCCGAGGAACACGACACGCGTGAAAGTGGCGACGGCGGTGACGAACCAGCTCGTGGAAACCCGCGTGGCGAAGCGTCTCGCCATGAAATTCCAGAGCAAGGATCTCGTCATCAACGTGGAAGCGAAGAGCAAAGTGGGTCTGGGAATTGGGAATATCAAGATCGGAATGCTCGCCGTTAACTTGAAATGCGGCGGCATAAGCTTGAACAAGCTCGATTCCGAATCCCCCAAATGCGCTCTCAATACCCTCAGATGGTAACGCACCAATTATAATTTCGATAAATGTATATACTCTTAGCGAAATTATGTCGGAATCTGCAATTTTTTACGAGAAAAATTGAATCTTTGGTTGCAGGATAAACTTACATTGATGAGCAGAATGGAATCTTTAGTCTTTCTCTTCTTTGATTTTTTTATTACATTGATTATTGATGTTACACATGAAATGTTTTTTTTCCTCGCTGTAACATGAGAGGTGAATCTAATAAAAAAAACTTTTTTTATTTTAATAATATTTTAACTGTCTGTTAAAGACACTGCGAACAGAGAAAGAGTGAGGATATTACCAAGTAAGATAAAAGAATAGCTGTGAGATGCAACTAGAAATCTCTATAATGTCTCACCTCCCGAATTTGAGGTCAATTATTTCGTTTTCGGTCTTTCAGCTATTGTAGTTGCTTCTCTAGATCTCCTTGGGATTATGGGTGGGTTTGAAGCGACTGCCATTGGTTTCTCTAGCAGAATGTTACTCTTTGTTGTAACACACATGATGTATTCATGGTTTACCTTCTTTTCCAGGTTCCAGGAAGAAAAGATACACACATGCATATCTATCCGCCTGTACATGGATCTGTACGGTCGTTTCTTTAGGCAATACAGACTGCAAACACCCATGTACCATGTCTAAAGACATATCTATATCTATAAGATATATGTATATTATATATATATGCACATTATATATATATATATGCATATGCGGAAGTAAATAAGGTGCTGTAAATGGTAATGCAGCACTGCTGAAGGATGTAAAGTGGACCGTCGGTCAAGGAAATCAAGCTGTCACTTTCTTATTTAGGCATTACAAAAATTATATCCTTCTGTAAATGAGAGATTAATACAGCCTTCACTGTTTAGCTACATTCCAAAAGCGAAAAAACATACATTATTATTATTATTATTATTATTATGGGTAATCGCATAAAAATACCCGAATTTTTACAAAAATCTCAAATAAATATCCGAACTATAAAATTATCATATAAATACCTGAACTTTTCAAAACTCCCACATAAATACCCAGACTTTTAAATTTTTTTCAAATCAAACATACGCAACTGCTAACTCAGCAAAAAACTGCTGACTCATAATTAAAAAATATTATTAAATATCCAAATATTCATCTATATGTATTTAAATTAATATATGTATATAAATTCACATATATATATATTAAAAATAAAATTATTTATAATTAATGAAACACATATACACATAACTACAATATATATATATATATATATCATTACTAATGCATATATATTACAATAAAAATTATTATAATTAAATTTATTATTAAAAGTAATAATAATGCATAAAAATAATTATAATTATATATATATATTATGTAAATATATTAGTATTTTAAAATAATAATAATGCATTATTATTTTTAATAATTAAATTTATTTTTAGTATATATATTACTAATGTATATATATTAAAATAAAAATAATTATAATTATATATATATAATAATGCATTATTATTATTATTTTAAAATACTTATTAAAAATAATAATGCATTATTATTATTTTTTATTTTTTGTAATATATATACATAATATATATATTTAAATATAATTATTTTTATGCATTTATGAGTCAGCAGTTTTTGGCTGAGTGAGCAGTTGCGTTTGTTTGATTTGGAAAAAATTTAAAAGTTTGGGTATTTATGTGGGGGTTTTGAAAAGTTCGAGTATTTATATGATAATTTTATAGTTCGGGTATTTATTTGAGATTTTTGTAAAAGTTCAGGTACTTTTATTTGTATTTTTCTTATTATTATTATTATTATTATTATTATTATTATTATTATTATTATTATTATTATTATTCGTTTGCATATACGTACTCGAACACCTTATATATATGGTTTTAACAAAAATGAAATAAAATAAATAAAAAGAAAAACAAATTGAATGGTGAGGGTCAGATGAGACACCCGAGTCAAAGAGTGACGATCAAAAGAAATAAACGTCGTAAAAAAATGTATTTTTATATATAATTTCATATATTTTAGCAAATTTCATCATTTGTATAAATCTTATCAAATTTCATCTAGATTTTACCGATGTTCTGGGAGATGTAGTCGGGTCAAAGATTCAGTAAACTTCCGGATTATAAAAAAATGTATATATATATATATATATATATGTAAGATTTGTGTCTATATAGCACTCTAGTTCAACGTGGGCTGGGAGAGGGAGAGCAGTCACGTGTAAGAAAATCAGAGGCACGTGACAGGTGGAAATAAGAGAAAAGTAATAATAATTATTATTAAAAACAGACGAAGAGCGTTTCGTGTTTTTTTTCCTACCTACTAAAAGGCCCGGACGAATGTCGTGCCATTTTGTGAAAAGGAGAGAAAACGTTATGCCATTCTTTTTTAATTATTTCGCTTCGTCCACAAGGCTCCGCCCCACTAATGTCCACTGCCCTTTTCACAAATTTGTTTTATATATTTTTAAAAAATAGATTTATATAAACCCTTTTTGATCTCCTATCTAGTTTGTTGAGGTTAGACAATAAAACATCTCAAATTTGTTTATATTTCAACACTAATTTATACCATGCTTTAAAATAATATTTAAAACGACAATTGGTCAACAACACAATTATTTTTTTATGATTTATGGTTAGACTTCTATGTTAATACCCGTAAATAAATTCAATTTTGTTTTTGTTATGTTGCGCAAACTAATTTCATGTTCGTGTAATGATATATATATGTGTGTATAAATTTGATTGAGGGAATTGCTTTGGTCAATCAATTTCCTTGCTTATTGGTGATATGTGTCGTATAATTAAGGGAATTAAATATTAGAGGGGTCGGTAGACACTTGGCCGCCAAGAAAAAAAGTGTTATACTTGTTTTCTTCAAAAAAATTAAATTAAAATATTAAAACAAATACATGCGAGTAATTAAAAAAATAAATGCATCATACCACAGATTCATGATTCTAATGGTGGGTCAAAAGCACAGATACACAGTACCGTGACAGAGTCTCACGTGACAGAGGCCCCCCACCCCCCCTCCGATATGCGCGTGAACAACACGAGCATCGATGGCGCGTGGCAGGAGTACAATTGCTTGGAGGGCAAGCTAGTAAATGGGACCGAGACTACTGGATCTGCCACGTGTCCGTGATCCGACGTCTCGAGATATTTGGAAATGCGGGTGGCCGCCGTGAATTTTGTTTCCCTAATTACAAATTTCCCTTGATTTTTAAATATAAAAACATCATAATGACCAATTAACTGTAATTCCAAAAACAAATATGGGGAAAAAAAATCCAAACAAAAAAGAAAAAGGGAAGAAAATCAACACAAAATAAATGCGTGACTATATTAAGGAGGTTCCTCAGAAACGGCGATTCTTCTTCGCCTTTTTGACTATTCTCTCTCAACCGAAACTCCATTTACTCTCTCTCTCTCTCTCTTGGGAAACAATCGCTCTATTTACTCCGGCAACTGTTACAGACCTCCAAACGAGAAATGAACAGGCCAACCATGTCGAGAACGCGAACGGTTAAGTTCACTGAGCACCGGAAAGTCTCCGCCTTTCCGACAAGACCCTTCTCCGGTTCCACCAAGGTTGTCCGAATCACGGTGACCGACCCATGCGCCACTGATTCCTCCAGCGACGACGACGATGGCGCCACGGCGGTTCCGCCGGCGAGAGTCAAGCGCTACGTCGACGAGATCAGGTTCTACGACGGAGATTCCTTCGCTGCCGCAACCAAACCCGGAAAGGCTGCGCGGCAAGCGAGGAAGAAGACCCAGAACGATGATGGGTCTTCGTCGTTGGCGATGCCGAGGAAGTATAGAGGCGTGAGGCAGAGGCCGTGGGGAAAGTTCGCGGCGGAGATCCGTGATCCGGCGAGCCGTACGAGGATATGGCTCCGGGCGGTCGCTGCTCTTGTCTATGACCGAGCCGCCATCAGCCTCAAGGGACCCAAAGCTCAGACCAATATCCTCACTCCTCCGCCGGAGACGCCGCCTCCGGTGGCGTCCTATCCGCCGAGCATCGACATCGAGACGGTTTCTGGGTGCGATTCGGGCAAAGATTCCCATCAGACACTCTGTTCTCCAACCTCTGTTCTCCGATTCAACGTCAACGAGGAGACAGAGCTCATGATGGAGCTGAAGGCAGAGCCTGTCGAGCAGTTGTCCGAATCAAAGCCCGAGACCGAGTTCAGACCGTGTCACCTGGCCGTCGCTGAATCACCGGCGAGTCTGCTATCGGATCTGTGCTTCGCCGGTGAATGTTTCTGGGAATCCGACACTCCCCCTGAACCACACCCTGTTGAAAGAGAAAGGCGATTCCGTAGATTTCTCGCTTGAGCTGATCGAAGACTTCAAATCCTCCGAATGGGATGTGGATAGTTACTTCCAAGATCATTTGCCATCGGATTGACTCTGTTTTCTCCGGGATTTTTGGAAATGACCAACGGTGATTGCAACGGCGGCTCCTGGCCGTCTGTTTCCTCTCCGTCTGATTGTCACGGACGGTCCCGATCTGCCAAAGCGGAAGACTTTTTTCTCTCAGATTATATTTCATTTAGGGTAAATATATTTAAATTAATTTAGGGTTTTAGTTATGTTGGTATATTCCCGGTTGGGTTTTGGGTTTTGGACACAGCTTCTTGTTGTTTTCCATCGGAGAGTGTTTGCAACTACGCGAGGGAGACGTATATATATTTATATATATTCTTATATTTCCCAAATATTAATCCTTGTCTTTTTCTTGGGGTTTTTTTTCACTTTTTTTAAGTTTGCCAATTTTTGTTTGAAGATATTTGCTTTGGCTGAACGGATATGTTTTGTTCTTGTGCATGTATTTCAAGTGGGTTTTGTTTGACATGTCACCCCATTCGCATTTTTTTTTATAAATATAATCCATCAAAATCTCAACTTGAATGAATTTTTGCTCCAAATATCCCGATCATGTACATGAATAAGACACAATAACAGACATATATATGCATGTATATTAATATATATGTGTGTGTGAGTGGTGGTGTTTCATAGGCCAACGTGTCGCGGAGAGACATGTTCGTGTGTCGAAAATTTCAACGGAGCGTCAAGGTAAACGTGGCCATCCATCCATGTGAATGGCCAAACCCTGAAATGGTTTAGCCCTACCAATTTGTTTTCCATGTTACCAACCTTCACAACTTTGAAACGCATCTGAAAAGGGACAATGATAGCATTGCGGTTATGATTTGCTTGACATCCAAACTTCTCTCTCGCTTTCATACCTATGATTTTTAATTTTTTGGTGCGCTACATGTATTGAATTTGGTCCACGCTTTTGCAAATAATTCGACTTTTTGACGTGATGCAAATGAAGCATATGCATGGAGAAGAGAAAAAGTATAATAGACTTGTAACGAAATCAAATCCGATGGTCGCATGAAGCAAGCGGGTATCTGTGGAGTATCTGACCTCGATTTCTTGAAATATTATCTCGATATCGATCTTGAAATACTCGGTTATTCGGAGTTGAAATCGATACCAAAATTACAAAAATTCCTAAATTTTTTATTGATGTTTATGGGTATTTTTTTTAAAAAAATGTATACAAAATTATATCTATCTATTATTGTAAATACATTGAATAATATGATATAGATATTATTTTATAATGCGGAAGTTCACCAGGTTTTTAGCGTAATTATATATTTTAGAGGAACGAAAAAGTACGGTTGAATATCTCTTCCTACGTTTGCATTAATTTGAATACAGGATAAAAATATGTTTTGCATTTTTTTTACCACTGTACTATCCAATCTTGGGTAGAATGTAGAAAGTCAAATATAAAACATCCAAATCCGCAATCCAAATTTCTGGTCTTTCGGTCTCGTTCGCGGCGAGTATCCAAATATCTACCAGATCGAATACTCTGAAACTCGCGAGAGTCTCGGGTAAAAACGTCCACCCATCCCTACCAGAAACAATGTTAAAGTGAGTTTTGAAGAGGTTGGGTTTGGGTCATTGTCCCATCTTTAAATGTAAATGGAACTTTATTATTTTGTATGTTTCAAATTCGAGAAGGGTGTTGACATTTCACGAGACAGAGCCAATGGATAGGAACATGTCCGTTAACAAAAAAGAGGGGGGTGGTGATGGAACAGTACCCACTTGACAACACGCGAACTCGATTCGTGTTTTTTGGAACATCGACTTGTGCTAATCGAGACACTCTCCCTTCGGTCTTCGAAGAAGAAGACTCTTTCAAGATTCTGTCGTTGACCTTTTCTGATGTCATGTGGTGGATTCACAAAAAAAGGGGGCAAAAACCCTATTGGCTAATATATATACATATATATATATATTGTCTATTCGAGGGCCATTGAAAATGGTGGTGCCTCTGGTCTACGAACCCTCCTTTTCATACAGAGGTAAATGGCTCTGAGTTGAGTCAGCAGTCTCCTTTTTTTCCACCGACTCGGCACTTCTTTTTAGTTTGTATGTAATATTATAATAATCGGTCAATGCCACAAAATTATTATTATTATTGTTTTCAAAATATTGTAGGCGTTTTTTAGAAGTATATGGGAGTGTCCATGAACGTGACCAGAGTTCAGGCTTTATTAGCATATGAAATCCCAAAGAAGATTTACAAAAGAAACAAAAGTAGAGATTCAAATTCTAATTTCTCACAGACCCACTTGCAAGTTGCATCCATACAGCAGCAGCATTCAATGCGTTCACCGCAACGGACCAAATCATAAAAAAAGCAAAATACAAGATAATATATTAATAATAACAAAACTTGTGTAAATGGATTGATCGGTAAATTAAAATTGTTACAAAAAAAAAATATCACGGTCTGTGAATGTTTGGGAATAATAAATGCAGGCGCTAAAATGTAAAAAAAAAAAAAAAAAAAGGGAGGTGGGTCTCTAAGCCCATAGCGAACACGTTCCAAAGGTAGTGTCTTTTTCAGACAGAGGTTGGCCCAAAGGATGGATTGAGAGGAGATGCAAGTTGGCCACAAAAATCTCTCTGCCATCAAATTACGATGGGCCCCATAAGATCTTCAACCTCCCTCTAGACCCTTTACAAAAAAAAAATCACGAGTTCCCTTTTTTTTTTGTTCATTCGGTGTCTTACTATGTTCCCTCAATGCTCAATCCCAATTCATGCGTACATGTTGATGTATTTTTCACACAAACAAATTATAAAATGGATGATATCACTTGTGAACTGTCATTGGTGCGTAGAGAAGGACAAAAAACGATGTTTTTAGAAGCATTTTGGGCCTTGTGGGGTCGATTACAATCCAATCAATTTCCACAAAGCTTTATTTTCAAGCAAAACCACTACTACCTATATATATATATATAGCAAACGAATAAAGAAAAGAAAATGTAAAAGATGTTAAAGGGAAAAATCTTGTCGCATATAAATGGAACGAGCGGAAACAAAATCTTTACCAAATGCAACTGAATACTTCAAAATTCAAAAACAAGGAATTAATTAGTAGTGGGCAGTCAACTATATTCAATGGGGTTAGGTATATAGTTTTATATAATGATATACGTTTGTTATATTTGCATAATAATCATTTAAAAAAAAAAATTTATCAAGGAGTAAAATCGATCAAACTAAATACGGAAAAATCGTGGGAGCTTATGAAGGGGAATGGAAAAGAGGAGGGCCAGAGGATTGTAATAATAGTGTTTCTGTACAGTTTCATGGTGGAGACAGAAAGAAATTTGCAGAGACTTTGAGGAGAGAAATCACATGGAACTGTTTCACCATCATTCATAGAATTGGATGAAATGGACAAGAACATTACCAGAGACAAAAACAGATTCTAGAAGAGACATGGCTGTTCTACATTTAGTTTCGTTTTGTCTACAAACGACACGGAGTTCATGTCAAGGAAATTAAAACGGCACGCTTTAATTCGTAATACCCGTTTGTCGCGTTTCGGCCCATACGAGGCCCAAATCGTGAAAAACTCGGCGGCGCAGAAGATAGAACAGCAGGGAGTCCAGTCAAATGAGTTGAAAACGGGAGGGTGTTTTCACGTGGTGTTAATTGTCAAGGTTTTTTTTTTTTTTGGGTGTCGCAAGCGCATAGCTCATGGGGGAAGTCCTAATTGCTTGGCGCCGTTGTGTCCACGCCACGAATCATTTTTCAGAATTTTCCGCCTTTTATTTCCTCTTCTTTTTGGATTCCCCATGCAAAATTCGAAAGCGGTAGAACCCTAACAGACGCAGAGATTGAATTCTCACGTGAAATCGACGCAGAAGCGAATTTTAGTGGTTGGATTTTCGTTTTGTTGATATGGTCAAAGAAGTAAAATTGGATTCGAAGGAGAAATCCATGCGTAATGAGGACTTGGGAGTCGGAGAGAGGGCATTGTCGGCCGCCGGCGCCGCTTTTCTGTCGGCGATCATCGTCAATCCTTTCGATGTCGCTAAGGTTTGGATTCAGTTCGAAAACCTTGTTCTGTTATGTCTCTCTCGAGATTGCTGTTTAGTTTTTGAACTCTGCTGTGATCATGGACGTCAGGCGTAAATTGTGTCGAATTTCGTGTATGTAATTATGCAGACGAGATTACAAGCGCAGGCTGCAGGAGTTCCGTATCAAGGCCTCTGTCATCTGGGATGTATCGACGCCAATACGACGGTATTTGACTGCTCATTTGCGTTCAGATTTGAGTTCGATCGTTCATTTTGCGGATTGACGTTTTCAAACGAAGTACGCATATAATATTGGGGATGAACTGGCTACGGTATCTTTTAGCTCCTGAAATTTTATGTTTTCACATGTTATTTCAGATGATTCATGACTTAAGAAATCATCCTTCTGGAGTGTGTCGAGTCACTGGCTCTGATTCGTTATGCTCCGATCACCGGTATCGAGGAACCATAGATGTGTTCTACAAAATCGTACGTCAGGTTAGAACAACTGTCTTGCCATTGTTACTGACTGTAAAGGCCATTGCTTGAGACGATATAATCGCGTCTAGGAGGTGCAGTCGATATGATCTGATAGCAACTTTGTGGATGAGTTGAAAAAAAAAAAACAGATTTTAATAATCTTGTTGCCTCTTTGGCTGCCGATGGTGTTGAGTACTGTATCTGTCTTGGCAAGTGCACCGTAAGCTACATGTTCATAATCTCAAAACTGGTTTTATATCAAGTTCATGATTTACTTATCAGTAGAGTTTCACAGGAACGACTTTATGCAGGAAGGATTTTCCAGACTGTGGAGAGGTACAAACGCAAGCTTAGCATTGGCCATTCCAACCGTGAGTCCTCTTCCCAGCTGTTGTCTTACTTTCTACTCATCTTATGTTTTTATTTTAAAATACGTGGGTTCGCATCTACTGACTATCGATATGGGTTCTTGGCGGCTTACTCTTTCTGACTTTGGATCTGTCTCTAGGTTGGGATTTACATGCCTTGTTACGATTACTTTCGCAATTTACTGGAGGACTTCACCACAGGAAAAGCCCCAAGAGTGACACCGTACGTCCCACTAGTTGCAGGAACCATCGCACGGTCATTGGCTTGTATATCTTGTTATCCTATTGAGTTAGCAAGGACAAGGATGCAGGTAATCTTCAGAACTAGCCACTTCATTTCCATCAATCTTTTTTTTTTTTGGTTCCTTTGATGCCTTCCCTAGATCTTTTCTGAGTAATAGTTCAAGAAACAATACCTTAGTGGTAGACTAGTGGAGGTATCTGGCTGCAAGAAAAATAATGAAGCGGATGTGAACACTTTCCAAAGAATCTGATACTTTCATTTGCAAGGAGGGGTTAATAAAGGACTTGGAGTTATCCGGTTTAGAGCTTATGTTGTTCTTGCTGTTAATCCAGGCATTTAAGGAAACCCAAAGAGATGTGAAACTGCCTGGCGTTTGGAAGACATTGGTTGAAGTTGTTAACCCAGTAAAGGGCCCAAACAACTTACAAAACTGTAAGCTTTCTACCAGGTTTATATTCATCCAGGCTTGCTATTTTCCGATATTTACCTTCATATTTGTCACAGTACAAGGCTACAGGCTCTTGTGGACGGGTCTTGGTGCTCAACTTGCCCGCGATGTTCCTTTCTCAGCAATCTGCTGGTCGATTCTTGAACCAGTGAGTAATCAATCTCCGGAACTCAGCTGATACTATCTAAATCTATCAGCGAGTCTTGCTGCTGCTGCTGCCCCGTTCCTTTTGACAGTCTTGTACCATTTCTGGCTATGCAGAGTCGGAGAAAGATTCTTTCATTCATGGGTGAAGAACCCAAGGCAACAAGCATTCTTGGTGCCAACTTTGCTGGTGGTTTTGTAGCTGGTGCTGTTGCTGCAGCAGCTACATGCCCGCTTGATGTTGCAAAGACTCGGCGGCAAATAGAGGTTAGACTCAGTACCTGGCTTTCAGGTTCATGTGCCACAAACCACAGAGTCAGGATGTGGATTATAACATAATGTTTCCCTTTGCAGAAGGATCCAGATAGAGCCTTGAGAATGACCACAAGACAGACCTTACGGGAAATATGGAGGTATGATCCATGTCCAAGCTATATTTCCCTTCTCTTAGGCCCCGCTTTGGTAATAGTTTTTGAATTGGCAAGTTTAGGGAAGAATCCGACCATTATTTCAAGACAAATCTGTGCAATAGATTTGATTATCTAATAGTGGGTTGTTGTTAGTTGTTACATATGATAGAACAAAACATATAAACCACGCAGATATGTGCATAAAATTGAAGAACGTGATTTGAATTATGTGGAATGGAACAGAGACGGAGGGATCAGGGGACTGTTTACGGGGATCGGGCCACGTGTAGGACGAGCAGGTCCTTCAGTAGCCATAGTCGTTTCCTTTTACGAGGTCGTCAAGTACTCACTCCACCATCTCCACCACTCCTAAACCCAACATTCACACACATTGGATGGAAGTTTGTTCCTTCTCTTGTCTGCATTTGATGATAACCCAATAAAAGGTACGAACTCCATTCCATTCCATTTGATTGAAATTGTCGATGCCACTAGAGTGGTCTTGTATTTTATTCATTTTGTTAATTATGGGTATTATTTTGGAATTCACATGCAATTAGACATTCGTATATCTGTCTGATACGTTAAAGGGAATCTGAGTAGTAGGAGGATGGATGAATAAAAATAGGCATTCAGACTGACAGCTCTATTATTTAGGCCTGCCTTCATAGCATGTGCCAATGCTCATTGGGAGTTTTTGTTTTTTGTTTTTTGGGCCCTTCTCTGAAGATTAAAAAAAAAAACATGAAATTCTTCCATTCAGATGGAAAAATATATCAAACAAGCATTCGGATACGAAAATGTAGGAATGTGGTGGTTAAGATTTGCTTTTGTAGTTATGATTTAAGTACAAGCCAATATCTCGGATCCCTTTAAACAATGCGAATGATTATTATTATTTAGTCAAAAGTAGACGGATGATTCTGATTTCTGGTTTCAAAGGAATGGCTCTGTATTTGAAATCAGACATAATCTGGTTTTCCCCAAATCTCAATCGGGAGTCACACTTCCTCGCATTAAGGGAGGAAGTACACTTCCTGCTTCAAGACAAGAGAGAGAGAAACTCATGGTGTTAAGCCCCCAAAAAACATGAATTCCTCGACGGGTGAAGATAATAATTCAATGCACATATATATATATATATATATGTATGAATAAATAATAGACAAGAAACTGGAGGAAGAAGGAACAATAATCTCTGATCAAATAACAATCTCCGGAACCAGAATCCAGGAATCACACCAATCATAAACAAATGACCTCAGTTTTCACATTGTAGGAGCCTGGATGGATCCAGAAAGCCAAAACCCCAAACATCAACAATGACCCGCAATTCAGAAGAAGCTGTAGGAAGACGCATCCAGGGGGTGAATGAGGTACGTCAGCACCAACGCCAACACCATTAGCAAATACGCTATCCCCTGATCAATCGCTGTCCCTGCTCACAATCCCAGATAATTCCCCTATTAGCTCCGAATTAGGGTTCGAAAAACTCGGATTGGGTGGAAAGTACGAGACAGACTGATGGTTTTTTCGACCTTCAAATACAATGTGCGTCGGAAAATCCGACAAATTCAATTCTGGAAGGAGAGTTTCAGATTTCACGCGTAGTGGACTCGAAACAGAAATCCGAAGAAAGCGTTTTCAGATCTACTGAAAAGTGAATGTGATATCGAATCAAAAAGCATGAGAACTCACCATCGCTTGTGGGAGCCGGAGCAGGGGCTGACTGAGCGCCGGCGAGAGGCGAGACGACGGAGAAGATGAAGGCGAACAAGGCAAACACGGCAAGGGAAGTCCTCGACGCCATCTCTGGATTTCGCTCCGGCAAGATTTTACGTAAAAAAAAAAAAAAGAGCGAAGGGATCTCTGCAAGAAAAACTCCGGTGAGAGTATCTGCAGAGACGGAGGAGAAATCTATTGGAGAGGAGAGAGACGGGCGAGAGGTTCTCACGCTCTTATAGAATAGGATTCGTGAAAGGATACCGGCTACAGCCGGTTAACATATATTACTCCTTTATTTTACATATCTTTTTTTATTAACTCCAGGTATTTTTTATTAATCAAATTCAAGACATACGTTTTTTCCCCACAAGAATTCTTTGATCAGTCAAAATTCAATTGCTTTAGATAAATATACTTTCAACGTGTAAAATTGAAAGTTGTATAAACTAATCTAGAAATAATTGGGTGCAATTTCATATATAATCAGATTGATAATGGGATTTCTATGTCTCTATGCAATGAAGCGATTTTACTTAATAATGATAACATAAAATATATTTTTTTCCTACGCAGTATGGTTTAATTTTGGGTAAACATACACGTGCTAAAATGTTGTCCTGTGAAACTGCCGTCTTGTAAAAAAAAACTGTAATATTTAAATATGTAATGTAAGAATTAGTGGTATCCAAATATCTACAATTCAAGTTGTTATATTTAGAATGATATTCACCAAAAATGAATATTAAATCTATGACAAAGTATTCTATTTAGAAAGAAAGGAAACAAGTTTTTCTAATCGGATTGTGAATATATAATTTATAATAATATAACCTTTAGAAAATTGAAGTTAAAAAGTGGTGGGTCCAGCCAACGTTACAGCGACGACGCCATGCCATGTGATTTCTCTCTCTCTCTCTCTCTCTCTCTCTCTCTCTCTATCTCTTAACGAATATGTGTTTTTTATTGTAAGAAAAGGATGAAAAATTTGGTGTGGAGTGGGGCCAACAGACTGTCAGACAAGTTGGTATCATACGATTGGCTGATTTTTTTTTTTGTTTTGGAATAAAAAAATCAAATAATTTGAATTCATGATTTTTGTTTTAAAATTTGAGTGAGCGAGCGAGTAATGGAAACGGCTATTAACGGCTATCAAGAAGCTAATCAGCGTGATTATAGCTTAATCCTATCATAAAATCTTTTACGAGGATTTTCTTATTTTCTGTGTGGTGGTTTTGGCAGTATATTTAGGAGAAATGCGAGAGTTTACTACTGTTATGGATGCTAATTATTTGACATAATCTTTTTTATTAGATGACAGAATCTAAGAGAGAGGGAGAATAGCCGTTTGGGGTTGGTTATATCAATCATGCTGCTTATGGCCAATAAAGAAATATCAATCATTTCTGTTCATTATTGGGATATGCATTACGTTGCAGATGCTAAGACTGTGGGGTCACCACTTTTTAAATTTGAAAATTTAAACAAAGGAATACACCCATATATATATATATATATATATACACATGTGGAATTCAATATTTAAGATTTGTTTGTTACCCACAGTTGTACTTGTGATAGATAGACTTGTAAGTTTCAGCAGTGGATAAAAAGCTCGAAGAGGCAGCCAAGACAGTAAATGTGTAGCCAACTGATTTAGAATCGTGTTAGGAATTGAACCCACCCACCACAATATAGAAAATGGGACACATTGCTTAGGAAATATTATGACCTTGAGAAGGGAAGGGAACATGCGTTTCTTGGAATTTTCAAGCCAAGTGCAAGTGGTTGCTTCGGTTACATAGTGACACATTCAATATGCCGACACTTTCTTTTATTTTTTTCCCTTCTTATCAAAGAAAGCATAGAAAACATTAAAATTAACGTTACATAATCATATTATCAAATTTATACACATAGAACATATGAAGAAGACCCGAGTCTCTTTGGAGAGAGAGAGATGTAGGAATGGGTTTGTCCGTGCAAGGGGGTCATGAGAATAATGTAATGTGAGTCAGATTAATTGATATTTTCCATTGTATGGACCAGAAAATGAAATGATTTTTTTTTTTTTTTTTTTTTTTTTTTTTGACACATTGCTTAGGAAATATTATGACCTTGAGAAGGGAAGGGAACATGCGTTTCTTGGAATTTTCAAGCCAAGTGCAAGTGGTTGCTTCGGTTACATAGTGACACATTCAATATGCCGACACTTTCTTTTATTTTTTTCCCTTCTTATCAAAGAAAGCATAGAAAACATTAAAATTAACGTTACATAATCATATTATCAAATTTATACACATAGAACATATGAAGAAGACCCGAGTCTCTTTGGAGAGAGAGAGATGTAGGAATGGGTTTGTCCGTGCAAGGGGGTCATGAGAATAATGTAATGTGAGTCAGATTAATTGATATTTTCCATTGTATGGACCAGAAAATGAAATGATTTTTTTTTTTTTTTTTTTGCTTTGCTTCGAGAACATTGCAGTGAAAGTGTTGGGCGGAAGCCGAAGCCAACCTCCCCACACAACACGACCCTCCAACAAATAGTTTAACCATACGTCTCCCTAATTTACTCCTGCGATACCTCATCTATACTGTTTGCATGTATGTATGTATGTATGTATGTATATGCATATATGCATGTATATGTTGGCGAAAATACAATAACATGAATACGTTAAAGATCACTAATAGATAAATAGATACACCGATGTACCCATGCCGTTATCTACGGCACATGCTTGTTTTTTTCTCACGGATTGACTAAATCACATCACATGGGATGATGAGATCACAATAGAAAACACACACCATTCACCAATCACCACAACCCCCTCCTCCCCCTGTTCTCAGAGTTTGCAGAAAAAGAAGAAGAAAACACTAAAGAAGCGACCGACATTCCTAGATTTATGATTTTCGGCAACTACGTGTTCCATGATTCCCCTTATACCAATCCCAAATTTTCTTGCATTACTCCTTCATGCGGTTCCTACTCTCCAACACAATAACCCATTGTGACAAAAACTCCCAGAACAATGGCTTGTGTACGTGCGATGAAAGCTCGGAGTGGTTTGAGTACAATACCACGAGTTACCTCGGGGGGTTTATTCTTCAGAATGCCAACTTAGGATCCACAACTCCAGAAGCACTGCCTTCTCCGGTTAACAGCTGGTCAGGGTCCTTCATTTACAGATTAAGATTTATTGTTTCTGCTCATTTCCTACTAGCAAAATATGGCGAAGGATACATTACACTTACCTCCATTCCCCATTTGATGTAATCTGAAGACTCGCACGCCTTATATTCGTTTACCAAGCTCTCAATTATTTCCCTAGACTCATCAAACTCCGATAGATCATTGTCCTGTTCACATCAAAATGCATAACCTCGTGATTTCACAAATCCAGAGTCCAAGGGAATGACAGAGAATTTTCTACTCCCATGATTTACAGTATGCTCCTTTAAAAAGCAGATATATGAAATCACCAAAGCAGGACGCACTTTCATTTGCAGCAGTATTTACTTGAGCCTTGTCAGAAGGCATATCTTTAAGAAGAAACCACATGGACAGTTAAAATCCTATGTATTCATCAGCAACTAACCAAAAGTAGGAAAATGAAATGGTCAACTCACAGCAAACATCGGAAACTTTCGGTAATTGTCAAGAAAAGCTTGTTTCTTCCTCAGTTTCTCATATTGGCTCAAACATCTGCTGAAAAGGTGTCTGATACTAGTGTGGCTTGCTAGCATGAGACCACTGACCTGAAATATTCAACACGCCCAGTTAAAAGTTTATAATTGAAATTTCTCCCACCGTCTTCTGCTAAAGCATATACTCTTAGCCTCGTTAAATTATTGATTGGTAATCTGCTGAACTATTTACGCAGATGATCCGCTTTCTATAAATAAGGGTCCAATTTTCAATAGTTTAGATATGATGGAAGCAACGATTACCCTATGGCCTGTTTGAACATAGGGAGATTTCTTTGAAAGGGCGACCTGTCAAGAATAGGAGAGTCAGAAAAAATGTGAAATAGATCCAGGTTCAAGGCAATGAAAGAGTGATCATGTCAACAATTGGTCAGAACCTGTATACTTGCAGGGCCCCACTCAATGAAGTTAACAAGCTTCCTTTCACGAATCCTCTGCAAACTCTCATGTACCTGATAACAATCATCAAAACAACACGTGATAAATCACATCAGCAGGAGCAGCCACGTCAACCTCAATATTTACCATGATAATTTTATAACTGCCAAGGAAACAGTACCTGAGTAGGATCAACTTCTCCTTGAATGATATTCAATATTGATATGTACTTTGCCTGACTAGCTTCTTTTGTTCTAGCATAAGATGAAACCATGATATTTTTTGTCTGTGGAATGTGAATTCAACCACGTAAGCATAATGTTGGCTCAAAGATCCGATAAAAGAGTTGGTAAAATCAAATTACTCACCTGAAGAAGTCTTCTCATAACATCCAGTACAGTAGTTTTACGAATGACATTTGCCTGCAAGAACAGTTTACATAAGAGATCAGAGATCAACAAAAATGGAACTCATGTGAAGTAAATATCTTCCAAATTACAAAGAAAAGTTTTAACAAAGAGATCCAGATGAAATGGTTAACAATCATCCATTTGTTTTCATAGTTAATATTTGGCTAGGTAACATGCTCAAATATTTTACCTGGCGCTCAACTGTCAGCGGTGTGTATCCTGTCATGAGGAAGTGACATCGTGGTGTTGGGATCAAAGATGCAAGTAAACCAACCAAGTCATTATTCATGTAGCCGGGATAACGCAGAGTTGTTGTACTGGCAGACATCACGGTTGAAACCAACGAATTAGTCTGAGCAAAGGTAGGATTCTTCAGATGAAGTCGCTCCACAGCAATTCGATTCAATGCAGTGTTGTCAAGGACAACAACACAATCAGCATTTAACGTCAATCGCTTCAATGTCAACAATGAGTTGTATGGCTGGACAACAACATCACTTGTTTCCATCTGATTTGGGAATACACTGTATGTCTGAACCAACTTCTTGCTATAGCGATCATTCAAAGTCTCCAATAAATAAGAACCCATGCCTTCAACAAGAAAGAAGACATCCATTCACTTTATATGAATCAAGGAATTCCTTAAGCAAAATATTGAAATCAGTGAACTACACCCCTTGACCTTGCCTAAGCCCAGAAAAGATATCATACAATCAATTCCAATTTCCTCCAGATCATTTCAACTATTTAGAAAATGTCAACATTCAGTGGACACTGGACACCAAGAGTCAGGCACTTTGAAATTAATATCAGTTAGGGAGTTCCAAGAAACCTGATCCAGTTCCTCCAGCAATGGAGTGGCAGAGAACAAAACCCTCAAGGCTGTCACTTCCGTCTGCTTCTCTATCTATCATGTCCATGATTTCCTCTTCAACACCTTTTCCCTGGTAAAATAATCAGTTGAGGTGAGAGAAACGTTGAATGGAGATAAAGTCAATCTTCTAACATAAGCACTGTGCCCAGGATCATTTTTTCGCAAAGTGAGAAAGAATGCTGTCCTCCATTCAAAAAGAAAGATGCAAAGCCAGATAAACAAACCTGGTGATACCCATTAGCCCAGTTATTTCCAGCGCCACCACCATGGTCTGAAACGAAAATATTCTCATGATTGTAGAGATTCCGATATTCGCTATTTTGGATGCCATTAATAACCCTAGGCTCCAAATCTATCAGTAGAGCTCGTGGAATGTAATGCTGATCATCAGCTTGGTAGAAAAACACATCTTTTCTGTCACCTCCCTGAAGCATCCAAAATTAACCACATTAATCCCGACTTCAAACACAAACGCACATCAGAATTCGCCGTCCAATTCGTAATTAGTACATCAACACAACCATACTTCAACAAAGCTAACCAAAATTTCACCAAGTCTCGTATAGAATATCACTTTTAGTTACTTTCCCGACAGCAATATCCGGCAAAAAACTCACAACTCTAAATACCTATATGAGGTTTATCCAAATAAAGCAATTAGGCAACTGGTCCCAGTTAATATAGACGGACGAAACCTCGGAAGATTAAGCAATTCATAGACGCAATGGAATCAAATCATGCTTAGTTAAACAACACTTATGAGGGCTTTCAGCGCGAAATCTCTACTGATACATTCGTCTCAGCCAAAACGTAATAGAGATCACGCTACATAAGATCGCAGAACGCGTCATAGATTCAAATCCAGCGATACCCAAAGCAAATGGACGGGAAGAAGAAAAAATACCTGAGTAGCGAAATCTTCGAGAATGCCATCCTTATTGATCCCATGCTCGAGGCAGAGCTGTTTCCAGAACTCCATGCCGATCTGGTTCCCACATTGTCCCACTTGCAGAGTGATAATCTCCCTCGGCATCTTCTCTCCTCCAGTGAGAGTTGTTTTCGGTAATTAGGGTTTCGGACTGTGAAGTAGAAGACGGAGAGAAATGCGACGATTTTAATTAGCTGTGGCGCGGAGGCCTATTTAAAAGGCGGAGAGGAAAAAAAAAATAGCAAAAGATAAAGCGAGCGATATTGTATTATAATTACTGCCGGGTTGGTAAACTCGTGTGAGTTGCCAACTCGGTAACTGCAACTGCTGCTAACGTGCGCCTAGTGTGTTGATCACCGTTAAGCTCCGTTACAAAAGTCCGTCAAGTGATTTGGGCCTCTAATTTCGGCCCATTTAGATTGTCATTGACGGCCCATTTGGGTTACGTGTATGTTGCATGTTTTAACGTTCCCAAAAAAAAATAATCACGTAACCTAGTATGCGTTGATAAAGTGGTTCCCAGTGGTTAATCGTGCAGTCCACCCAAACAAGATCGTCCCCTCACCATTATTACATTAAGGACTTGGACAAAGTAAAAAGGTACGACGGCTTCAACTAAGAGACATGAACGTGAACGGACATTGGTTATTAGCAAAATCTGACCAGAGCCCATGACACAGCTATCCAACAGGAGGCGTAAATCGGACCGATCATCAACGTTCGGGGACAGTGCCAGATCATGTGGATGGTGCGTAGTAATATTAAGTGTCGACAGTTCCATAAGTTTAGGTAACATGACCCATCCTGGGTAGCTCAACTGGTGAAACGGGGGTGCAAATCACTTGTCCTGCCCCAAGTTCGAGTCCCAGGGTGGGGAGGAGAGCGAATATTTCAAAGCACATGGCTTGCTCCCGGTCCGGAGATTAGTTTGGACTTCGGCCCAGGACGCTCCGTTATAAAAAAAAAAGGTTTAGGTAACATTTCGTAGTTTTGGAAGCCTCGACTCAATTGGTTGGGAACCCAAGTCCATTGTGGATTCCATTCAACCTTGATGAATTTTTTCTAAACCTTTAAATCTCGGTTGGTTTACCTATTTCACCTAGTTTGCAACCTATTTACGTGGGATCGGTGGATAATTTACTCCGCAACCGAAGATCGTGGTGGTTCTCTCCGTTATTTAAAAAAAAAAGCATTTAGTAGTTTTCGATCAATCAGTGAATGAGTTCAAACAACAGGTAATAATACAAAAGAAACATTGAACACTCATATCATACACACGCATATATAAGGTTTTTATATCATGATTATGGAAAGGCTAGTATTCGTCGGGCCAAAGGAAGGTTTCGATGGCAAACTTGCGTTTGTGGGGGAGATCGCCGATGAAGAAGAGTCCGTATTGGCGGAGGAGCAAATCGAGTTTCCAGGCTGGCATTGAGTCGTAGTCAGCCTTCTTGAAACGTGGGTAATGGAGTGGCATCCGGAAATAACGGTCGCTGTCCCTTTGTCCGTAGCCACTGGCCACAGATCTCTGCTTCTCGTCCCTCGCTGGGCCGATGGCCACCTCTTCTTTGTCTCTCCCTGATAAGCTCATTCTCTTCTCTTTGGTTGTTATTCTCTCTTCTTTGTGTTTTGTTAGCATTTGCCCTGTTTTTTTTTTTTTTTTTTTTTTTTTTTTTTTAAAAAGAACCCTTTTAAGGTGGAAGAATATGCCGTGGTGATGAGAGAATACAAGTTGACGTTTATGTTCTTTTCTCGTCACGACAAACGGCAAACGAAACAAAAACCAAAAGAAGAGCCCCGTCAAACTCGATCGAGTCAACTGTTTTCTACTGAATTTAATTAGTATATTTGTTGGATGATGTTAAATAAATACTAACCAAATGTTATATTCTTACTAACCATTTTCAATTAGAAAAAAAAAAAAAGATAAGGATATATGTTACTTTGCAACAAAGACATCCTCGGATCACAGATGAATGTTTATATGCCTGAAAGAGGAAAAAAAAAATTTATATATCATCTGAGAAATCATATGAATTCTTATCTTAGTATAAGTTATCTGATGGTGAATTTCTCAAAATACTTACATGGAGCGTGCAAACTTTATATACCTTAAATACAAATCCGTGCTTCATATGAGAGTTGCCTCTTCCACCTAAGCTTCCAGAGAATCTAACTCACTGAATGACACAGGAAGAATACTAATCCAATAGAAGGGAATCATAAAAAACAACGCCGAGGAAATGCTTCATCTCCAGTTCACTCTCTCGATCGTTCACAGAGATGCAGTGTGGTAATGGCAAATCACTGCCCAAGTACGGATGCTGGTTCAGACCAGCTGCCCCAAGCCTTCGACCGAGACAGGTGTCAATGTCTCTCACTGTTAGGACAAGGTGACAGGTGATAACGTCGTAACAGAAAACACGGACAGGTCCGCAATTCTCGATGGCCCTTTCCCATCTTCCGAAACCCAGGGAGCATGATTTTTTTTTTATGAGCAGAGAAGCAGCAAAGACAAGGGCTCTTGTCAAACCAGTTTCAGTAGTTTCATGCTTCCAGTGGAGTTGGCAGCTACTAACATGTTTGACTTTCTTCTCCAACAGACACTCGACACAAACTGGCCATTGTCATGACAGAACTCGTTTCCAGAAAGAGGGTCGACCAATCCAAACTTGTACGAAGTTATTGGCATTGGTAAAGACCTATAATAACTATATACCTGCGGGAAGTAAATGTGAGTGAAGAGGGTTAGGACTAAAATGTGCATAAATCTACTCAGTGCCAATAAGAAGAACTGAAACCAGCTGAAAGGACAAGCTCATCCAACACAAAAGAAAAATGCTGAAGTACAATTGTGATGGCATATATTACCTCATTGGTCTCTGAACCGCAGGCTATGTATCCATCCAAAACAGACAATCCGACAAAGTTCTGCGCAGGTGAAGATTAGACATCAGAACTGACAAAAGGCACGGATGAAAGGAAAATCAACAGATATCTAATAGTTTGCAAGCAACCTTCTGATTCGTGTGTCCTTTGAATGTCAGTGAACAGGCACCAGAGGATAAACCGGATGAGTTTGTCTTGTTAAGATTCCATAGCTTGACAGAGCTATCCGTGGATGCAGAAACGACGGTATCTGAATCCATAAATTTGACATAGCTAACAGCTTTCTCATGGCCAGCTAATGTGCACCAAGGTGTTTTGACATGCCGGAGATCATAGCAATACACCTTGTAATCTGCTGATCCAAACGTCAGCAAGTGATTGGAGAAAGCAGAGAATTGAACGCAACAAACATTTGCAGGGCTCCAGATTGTGCCAACCGACCGTTTCTGCAAACCATCAGGGAAGAAAATTAGTTCTGAAATAATCACTTAGAAAACAGTACCTCGAAGCCAAAGATCATACTATCTGCAGATGAAACTGATTTATCTTGGGGTACAAACAGATTCATTAGAAGAGGGGAAAAACTGTTCGATAATAGAGTTATAGTACGCAGTCCTAGATCGAAAAAACAAATCCCAGAGTTTGACAATACAAGCCCTTGAGAAACACCCCTCTAAGATTTTTCTGCGTTCACGAGTTTTAAATGACTTTTACTTCCATTAAGAGGATAAGGAAAAGAACCATACATCATTGATGCTCCAAAGCTTCACGGAACAGTCATCACTTCCGCTGACAAACTTTGTCGGGTCAGATGGAGAAAAATCAACTGACCAGGCTCTCCTCTGATGCTCCGTGTACTGAGAAAACCCTTGTCCAGTCCCAGCATCCCAAATCTGTATTCATCCAGCACCATAATGTAAGAACATGTGAAGTAGAAACAATAGCCTGTCTACTTGGACACTTAAGCGGCCCTAGCTACTCTGTAAGCATTTCATGGGAAGAAGCATGAGAGGCTGGTCCTAATAGCCCCCTTGTATAATAGAAAATGTAAATCAGGAAATTAGAGAACATAATGATTTTCATACGCACCTGAACCACACCATCATAGTCGGTTGAGGCCAAGTAGTTTTTTATGTAACTATTCCAGGAAACACAGCTTAATTTTGATTTGTTGCACATCTCTACTAGCGGGTAATGGACAGTCACAGGGTCACTCATGAATGCACCGACGTCAAAAATCTTGATTCTCTTTGATATACCAGCAGCTGCTATGTGTTCCTCATCAGGGTCAAAACTCATAGAGCAGATTACATTTGCAGAGTTCAAAAGGTCCCCACTCCTTATGGTGCCACATGTTTCAAACTTACTATACCGAGCGAACTTGCACAAACCCTCGAAAAACACTTCAAGTTGATCTGATGTTTTCCCTTTCGTTTTCAAATCTTGATTCTCATACTGGATATCAGAACACCTGTCTCTGTCCTTCAGTAGGCTTTTGTCAGAGCAGGAACTAGTAGCGGAACCTGGCAAGTTCATTTGGGACCTCATAAAGAAATATGCATCTTCAAGCTGATGGATATTACTCATCAGCCTTTCTGTATTTTCATTAGGCACAAAAGAGGTACTCAATTGAGAGGTACAACTTGAACTTGTGGGACATGACTGCAGTCTTCTTTCATTAGACCCCTGAAATTTGGGCAGTGATGTCTTGGAAGAGTACCTTCTTTCTGCCTCTTTAATGTCTTCCTCTAAAGTCTGGATGTCTTGCAAAAGCTTAGATTCATCTTTCTGCTTCTGCTCTTTCAGTGAGGTCAAAAAGTGAAGCAACAACTCAGACACCTCATCATAAGCGGCAGTGGGTATTGCACAGTCATCTTCACATATCAACTCAGAATGCAGTATTTCTCTGTTTCAGAAAAGGGAAGAGCAAATGGAGAACATAAATACACGTGGTTGCATACAAAATTACCTTCGTGATTATGAGGAAAAGCAGTTGTATCAAAAACGGGAAATACATAAATGAAACCTAGCAGATGATTACTATAGCTAATTAAAAATATTATTTCCAAAAGTTAACATGCTTCTCTGTGCGCCACCATCAGATTTTCCTTTTTTGAAAAAAAATACATCTCAACTCTTAAATGAAACCCCATTGGCCAACCACCCAAAAAAAAAAAATTATTTGCAGACACTATCACTTGTATCGTGGCCACAAAGCAACCAAGTCAAACCCACAGACAACAATACCTAGCTGTTGGTCGAGAGGACGGTTCCGGATGTAGAAGCCAAAGACAAAATCCAGCTTCTTTCGGGTTTTTTGAAAGAAATCTTGGCGGTAGAATCCGATGGCGTAAATCTGACATCACGGCAGAATGAATCTCACTTGACTCGCAATCGCATAGCAACTGAAATAACCACAACCAATCTAGAGAGATCAGCACACTCTCATTCACAAGAACAGATGAAACGAGTAAACAGAAAAAGTGATAAAGATGACTATGGATTAATGTCAACCTACAAGATTGTAAGTGTTCAAAAGGTCATGCCTTGTTAATCATTCTCATTAACGGGTACAAGAGAGCTAAAAGGTTTACTTAAAAGTCACAAAACTGTAAAAAGAAAAAAAGGGAGAAGCAAACTTCACTAAAGTACAACCATTCAAAACAAAATATTCAAGCTGTTGATCGAAACCTAATGCTCAAACTGGCAAAGAATATAAACGGATTGTGTGGATGTCCAATGAAAGAAAATAGACATCCCTACCTGGATATAAGAATATTATAGTCAGAGAGACAGTAGACCCGAAAGCTTATCATAAGTATATACTAGTAGAGATTCTCACCTCAAACAGAAGAACACCAAGAGCATATATGTTTGATTTAAGTCTGCTATCATCCCCATTTAACTCCTCAGGACAAGTATACCACTGCTCTTCTAGACAGACAGCTGCGGGCACAGACTGTTTTCTGATCAAGGAAGATATGCCTGAATGGTTGGAATGATTTTGATATGGGAGATCGTTACAGTCTATATTCTGAGTATCAATCGTGTTTAAATCGATCAAAGGGCTTGTCCTTTTTTCAGGTCGCCAAGCTGATGCGAACTGCAAGCGACTACCTGGAGAATGCTCATGGACATCCATTTTTCTTTGCTTCAAATCCCTTGCTGGAATAGATGTTTCTAGAGCCAAGAGCCTCTTCCTACTCACATCTTCATTGGCATCAGAGTCCAATTTTTTCTTGGCAAAAGAACCCATGTACCCCAGCTTATCAGATGGAGAAACAGTGAAAAAAGATGGCCTTAAGTTCTGCAAGAAGAATCCTTGCGAGTGGGCTGTGTCAACCAGCTCAACAACCTGCCTAAATAAAAGAAGGCTCTGAACTTTGTTTCTTTTAGGACAATCTGAGCTAATATATTCCCTCAAAATGATTCCACGGGGAGAGGATTTAGGGTAATCCCCATCTACATCATATAATATAGACAGGTTGTTTTGGGCACTTGATTTCACATTTAATGCATTGTGAATATTTGGTGGCTTGATATCCACTCTTTCTCCCTTGCATCCTCCAATGTCTTGATCCCCACCAAAATCAGGGTGACTTTCATGGTTTTTGCCAACTATCATCTTCCCCTTCATAGCCCTTTTAAGAATTAATTGAGAAAAACTCGAAGAACCTAGGTTCGTTTTAAGTTGGGCACTCCCATTGGTCAATGCAGGAGCATTCATGATATTCTTGTCACCACCAGCCGCTCTTAAACGTCCAGAAACAGCACTGAGAGACTGATCACTCAGCTTGCTCATAAAAGGTTTCAGATTCTGTCTTTCAGAAGGAGCCCCAGCAAGCTGCTGCCTGATTTTAGATAACATTTGATCCATGTCCTGAGGCTGAGAATCAAGGTCCCCGTCTGGAGTCCGGAAACCAGACCCGTTGGCCAAACGGTAGAGATGCTCAAACTTTCCAGCCTTAGAATTGCCCGTATTACTCCCTAGAGCCAAACCTGGATTCTGATAATTCCCTACTGTCAACTCTTCAACAGAAACTCTCGTGGTGGCATCCTCGACAAAATAATGGCTGCTAAGTGGCGGCCCGGATCCATTGAGAGAACCCACAGACCTGGTCAAGTCCTTGCACTCAGAAGCATCTATTATACTCTTGTGGAGTGAACTCCCCGGGCAATCACTCTGCAAAGGATCGTTCACGGTTTGCAATTCCGTTGTTGTAACAACGTGACTATCCAGCTTACATGGAACATTATCCTCTCGGCCTTTCAGTTGAACGTCGCTACTCGCAATATTTTCTTGCCCAACTCCTTCCATATCAGACAAGCTTTCATAGCATCAAAGCAGATAATTTGCAGCCTCCATGCCTTATTAGTTTCGGGGAAAGCAACAAAGCATCGAAATCCTACGGACTCGTACAAAACCCGGCCTCAAAGCTCAATTCTCCGGCAGGCATGCATGAACCAAAACCCTAAAAATATCACAAAACATCGGAAAACGTGAACCCATAAAGCCCTAATCGATCCCACGCAGTAAAGTTCATCAAAACCAAACATATCCACAGCAATATGCGTAATCTGATTAACACGAACATAAAAGCCACCAGAAAACAAAGGTTCACGTGAAATTCCAGCAACAACAAAAAAAAAACGAATCATGAGAATAATAAGGTGAAAACCTAAACAACATCAGATCGCATACCAGATTCCGGAAACGGAGAAAAAACTAGCAGATCATGAAGAGAAACTCGTAGCAAAAGCGAGCGTGAACCCAAACGGTGAGGCTTGTGGATAAGCAGACGGAGCTTGAGAGAATTCCAAATTCGTTCAAGGAACCCCACAGTGGAGAGAGAGAGGAAGGAGAAGAAGAGGCTACAAAATTGCCAAAATGGGGAAAATATCTTTGTCGAAACACAAAGATCGACCGAACAAGCCTATCATCGCAGTAGAAAGCGTATCATCCATCCTTCTTCACCCTCCGATTCTCTTTTTTATTTTTAACTTCGTTTTAATAATTCGATAATTACCAAAATTCTCGAGCGGCCTTTTATTCTGGCGCACAAATTTTTGAACATTATTTTATTTAATTAATTTATTATATTATTTTATGGAAGAGAAAAAGGAATTTTTTTAGTGCCACTTTATTCCAGTCATGACGAACGAAATCAGCCGAACTTGGGTTAATCTCCTTTTTAAAGCAAAAACCAGACCCTTAAGAGGTCCCTACGTATCGACATTTTCCAATCAGCGATGACAGCTGAGAGGACGGGGGCTGTTCTTTGCGTTATTTACATATCTGCCACTCCCGTCCCGTCGTGTCTGTTCTTGCCGGCTCCCGCGGCTACGCTAGCGGTGGCGGCTGCAGGGGCAGGTTCCGTAATTTGAGAAAAACTCAAGGGGCATTATGGGAGTGCATGGGGGATCTTGGGACATTTTGCGGTTGAGGAGGAGAACGAGACACGTCACATCACTTAAGTTAAATCTATTCGCGGGTCACGTGAGATGAGTGGAGATTAACAAGCCACGCCACGATGCAATCAATATAATGTAATAAATGCTTCCGCCACTTAAACTGGGCCTGGACCTTTTATATTGGGCTTTTTTTGTACTGCACAAGCCCACGATTCGGTGCTATCATAAAATAAGCAATAAATGCTTCCGCCACTTAAATTGGGCCTGGACCTTTTATATTGGGCTTTTTACGGCCCAACTAAACCAATCCCGAACTATCTGTCCAAGGATGACGTCATACATAAATGATAGATTGATAAAACTCCATTTGTTTTTATTTCAGTTTTGTTTTATTGGCACCATACATAAATGAGAAGCTAAGAAGCAGAACAACTGTTGATGCGCACACAGCAAAATAAAGTGAAGGGAAGCAACCAAACAAAGGGGGAAAAAAACCCTAATTCGTGATGTGATGATCAGTTCGATGTGAGCCCAAAAATATGAGTGCATGTCAATCCGAGATTCTGAACTCAACTCCGAGAAGGTCCTTCACCTTCTCGTATGTCACGAAGGCAATTGCGATGGACGGGACAACCTGAACATAACCAAACAAAACACGTCAACGGTTGTAACATCTTATCTTATAGGTTAAACAACAAGACCCGACAGGAAAGTTTCAACCAGAGAAAAGGTTAAAGAAGAGACAGAACCTTGACGAAGTTAGGGACCAAACCCTTGTAAAGTGCTCCAACACCCTCATGACGAACAGTTTTCCTAAACGCATCGATCATTCCAGAATATTCGAGGGGAGCTTTCCCTCTCCCATCACCTGTTATAACTGTGGAAGCGTCTTTCCATCCAACCATCTGCATTCTTCTTCGAACAACATCAAGAGGGTATGCAACGGTTTGTCCGATTGTTCCGGCAACGGCTCCGCAAGCAAGCCTTGTGGTCACTGTCAACTCAGAGTTGTCAGCAATCCCAAAAGGTCTTGCTTTAACCAGCCAATCTTTGAGAGATTCGTAGACTGCAAAGTTAAGGCCCACATATGGAATCTGCAAAAAAGCATCTGCAAAAAAGCAGGAATGTTCGAGCATCAGGTATCAAGTTTGACCAAAATTCATATATTCCTTGGCTAGCGATGGAACTTACAACTCCAATAACAGATGGAAGCCAGCCTCTGTACAACGCTCTTGGTCCTTCCTCACGCAGCACAGTTGATAAAGCATGGACCATTCCCCTGTACTGATAAGGAGATTTTTCTGTCTGCACAAAAAAACGATGCAAACGACCGTCATTTAAATTTTAGAGAGAATGTACGAGAAACAAACAAGGAAAACATAATGCATTTTCCAAACAAACAACCCAATAAGAATCACAGCAGAACCTTTACTATGTCAACAAGTAACATATCTTATTTTTATAAGAAGAAATTAGGATCCAAAATTGATACCTGGACAGTAAGCCTCCCGCGCACCATGTCCATAGGGTAAGTAGCAGACATGGCAATTATTCCAGCACAAGCTCCAGCTCCAAGACGTAAAAGAGGTGTAAGCTCAGCTTCATCTGCGCAGACACGAAACAATCGCTACAACAGTTATAGCATTCTTCATCTAGAACAACAAGCACACATTAAAACATAAAATAGCAGCTATATCAGTTCAAGAATTACAAATATGGACTCGACTATATATACGTCATAAGCTCATTTTGTATCACTGCAAAAGTTAGCGTACATCTCTCATTAAACACAAAGAAACTGGTAGTATTTGGTGACATAAGATTACTTACCATTCCCTGTTTGCTGTTGATAGAGGTAGAGTATCCCCCTGTCATTAGAATGCAATGACAAGAATACAGATCAAATGAGAGTTTGAACAAGAATGCTAATGTCTTTTGTATGAAAAGGTCGCGGAATAACAAGACAGACACAAGAGTAGAACAAGAACAGTAGAGATAGTACACTCAATAACAGAAAGAAAAACATTAAGCCAAACCAATACCTAGAGACCACGCTATGCATAGAGAAAAACCTAAATCTGCAGAATAATAATAGGATAGGATAACCCGACAGAAGTGATAACACAGAGAAGGTTATGAAACATACTTTGAAGCCTGCTCATAGCTGAAGAACTTGACTGCTGAGTTTGGAACGATGCGGGCACAGTTAGTACCATTGCCTTTGAACAATCCACGAAAACCTTCGGTTCTCCATATATACTTCAAACCTTGAATTGTTCCATTGTATTTTATACTGTGCGGATTTTGAACCTACAATGCAGGCATCAACTAACAATGAGTCATCTGTCCGCATCGAATACCAATATCACCATAACAACAAACGAAAGTACTACAAACCTGTAGTAAAATCTTCAGTCTCTCTAGAGGAGCCACCGCAGTTCTTGACCTGCTCCACCAAAACCCAGACGGAAAATTTCAACGCACGTATTGACCACGGAAGGAAATCATGAAAGATTAAAAAAAGACCTCCTCTTTCATCTTTGGTTCTCCAAGGAAGAGTACGAAATGCAAATAATATAATTCATTTTCCAATGTCCCGTACGAATCTGATTGATTTAGCCTAAACAGGAGAAACCGAAAAGAAGACGAAGAGAGCCAAAAGAAGAACTCACACTCCACCAGCTACTCCACCGGCGACGAGAGACTTGCAGATGCTAAGAACGGCATAGCTCGGGGCCTTGACTCCCTCCCTCGCCAGCTTCGCCTCCTCCGCCAGATTCACGATCGTCGAAACCGCAGATTCGCTCGTCTTCACATCCTCCGACGCCATCGAATACAACGATAAATAACAAAAACCCAGAACCCAACCGTATCAGAGACCTCTTCGCCCAAACCCTAGGTCGCCGAAACTTTTCAACTCCGGCAGGCCTCAGGTCGGAATCTCTCCGCGATCAAAGGGATCTCCGATCTCCGGCGGAAGATCGAAGGGAAGGAAACAAATCACCGGCAAATTAACCGCACGAAGAGAGGCTGGATTTCCCGGAGTCTCCGATTTCTCGAGAGGTTGGATGTTTGGCTTTACGGGGCTGAAAGGGAGATTTCAACTCTCCAACAGACGGTAACGCCGTTTCCATCGTGTTGCCAATACTACTCGCGGACACGTACGGGACGTACATACTCCCTCTATCTTTCGGCCACGTGTCATAGCATTCTGTTTCTCAACCGTGTGGTTCACTTTATTCTTGCAAAAAACCAAACAAGTTCTGCATATGTGTGCATCATCCGAGCCGTTAATTAGTGATCCAACGGTTCACGTCGGTCTCGGTTCGCGGTTTGATCCACTCCATTCACCAAGACGACCATAAACCGCAGGATAACGGGAACATGAAGGGTTTTAGTAGCAGCTCCGTTAAAAGGGGTTTACACGTCATCATCAGAAAGTTGTAAAGACTAATATAAGACATTCGTTAAAAAATTCAAAAAATAAGAAAATATATGAATATTCAAAAGCAGACCATTTAATTTTTTATCGAGTTATAAAACATAAGTCTTACCAACATATTTATATTCGTTGGAATTGGTATTTTTTTTATTTTTAAAAATAATCATCAAATTGGATCAGTTTGAAGTGTTTAGAATAAAATGATATTTCTTTTATTTTTAAATATGATATTTTTATTCATCGTATTTTTCAACAAAAGCTAGAACCCAACAAGACTTTGAACTGAGCCTATTGGGCTAAAAATCTCTCATCAGGCCTAACATATTACGGGCCATAACATATAGCTCCAACATATTCTTATAAACTACATACAAACATATTACGGTCCATAGTCTATAGGCTCAACACATAATGTGCCATACCTTATAGGCCCAATATATTATGGGCCGTAACCCAAAGGCCCAATATCGTCCTACGAGGATGTCGCGCACAACCTCTCTTACGCTGGTATGACCGCGCGAATGAGTCGGCAAACACGAAGGAGAATGGCCGGAGTCATTATCTCGGTCCACGTACGTCCATCACCACGAATAATTCCATCGGGATTCCATTTCCTCTTCTAATGCCTGGACAGCTATCCAAAATCCAAGCCTTTTTTCCTTACTTTTTGGGGCACTAAAAGGACTCGTCGTTTTCTCCCAATTTTATAAACAGTGACACCATTAATCTCTCACATGAACATGCTGGCTCTACACTCCCACCTTGCAAAGAAAAAAAATCGCAATATGAATCCATTCGGTGGGTCCAGTAATCAGTATCCCATTGCCGCAATAATATCCCCCAAATAAAAACAAGGAATTAGAATGTATAACATAAGTGTAGTGACATATGTATATATCGGGGTTTTAGAGATATTATATTGTAATAACAACACGTGCCGCGTGATGGGGTCAATATTGTAATTGTGTAAAATTCATTTTTGTGGAGCCCATTGATTAAATTTCGGCGCCGGGGAGGAAAGTGGGACGGTAATTTTGATTTAAGAAAAAAGTGGGTGGAAACAGAAGTGCGGAATAGATGAGGGGTCATTTTCGAAAAATCCAAATTCGGATCTGAGAGAGAGAGAGAGGATGGTCTTTGTGGTGAGTTATTGTCGATTGATTAGTGGTAATTGCAGATTAATTAGGATATAAAAAGTTACATAATCTCTTTATTTGAATCTGTTTGTTGTAATTTTTTTTTTCAGCATATGAAATATAAACACGTAAACATCTTCAAAAAAAATAATATATTTTATGGAATAGATTTTTTTTGGAATATAAACACGAAAACAACTTCAGAAAAATTTGGTTGGATGTTGATATAATTATGAATAGTGATAAGATATAAACTTGATGGATTTCATTATGTTTTTTTTATAATCCAAAAATTTATCGAACCTTTGATCCGACTAAATCTTCCAAAGGGTCAGAAAAACCCATGCGAATGTCATTCTCCACGCTTAGGTTTGAATCCAGAGTGAGAGCATGTTTTATATGTTCTCTCATTTATTAGACCACCCACACCCACGCTTTGTTGTTTTATATTGTGAAACTAGAATCGAGAGAAATTTGGGAGAGAATACAGGAAATTTGGAAAAAAAATTTATAATAATGTTTTTTTTTTTGTAAATGATCCGTTTAGGAAAAACTCAAAAGGAATCAACCCCTTTATATTTTATATTCTAATATTCAAAATGAAAAAGAGTCTTATACAACCCAACCCACCAAACCGGACGCTAAATCAGAAATAAATTGAACAGAGATCAGAAAACCAAAACCGATAAAGTATATCACTAAGAATAAAGTGTATTTTAGACACCATCATCATGTATGCTTTAATTAATCTAACTAAAAGATTATACGATACTTTTTCCATATGGCGTAGGAAGAGAATGTTGGTCTAGCAACACTTTATTTTGTCAATGTTAAATCTTTGACGCGTTTTAGATCAAAATCAACGAAATAATTGCAATCGATGTAATTACCAAATATAATTCTAACTAAAACTACTATTTATAATTCGTGGTTTCCCATTTTTAGATGCTTACGGATATAACTTTAACTATGATTCTAAATCTTATTATATTTAAAATTACATGTGTTATATAATTTTTAAAATATTTCCGTAGATAGTTTCTAGATTTATAAGTGTACTGTAGTGTTTTAGTACGTTTAAAAGGAAAAATAATTTCAAGTAAAAGTTTGTAATTAATCATATTAATACGGGTAGATGATTTCTAGACTTTTTTCCTCTCAAATATAAAACAATATTTAACACATTTTAAATTAATAGTAATTCAATGTGATATATTTAGATATGAGTGGTTTCGAAGATGCTCAATACGTGTAATTGTATACACCAATAAATTTTCAAAAACAGTGAAAATGTATTGTGTATCGAATTAAAAAAAAAATCCTATTTAATTAGGCATGTTTTAGATTTTATTGAGAAAAAACTAACTAATAATTGAGTCATATTGTGAATGAGTTCCTCATGTCGAGGAGTTCATACTTTTTTTCGTTAATTGGGAGGTTCATCTGGGCCTTCGGCCCAACCTACATCCCTCTGGGTCCGGAAGCAGCCTTTAGAGTGACCGCCGAGAGGGGCCCTACGAACCACACCCCCTCAGACGATAAATACACCCCTACCTCCCCATCAGCTGGATTCGAACGGTGGACGGGGCCCTTCCTCCCCATTATATTAGTTAGTCGTTATATGTCAAGCGTCGAAGAGAATCAAAGAAGTTTCCAGTTTATATATCACAAAGTGGTTTCCAATCGTCTTCATCGGTTTTTGCCACTAAATGCTTCAAAGATATCTAAACATCTTGAATAGTGAAAAAAAAACTCGCGAATTAACAAATATTTGTTTATTCAATATCGATATAATATATAAGATTCATATTTTTTTTATGATCAATATGAGTAAAAATTGATTAAAAAGTCAAAAAAAGATTTGTCACTACAAACAACAAACTATTTAATTAGATTAGAAACACGTCTTATAATATATATATATATATATATATATATATATATATATATATATATATATATATAACACAAAAAATAATGTGCTTATGAGACGATGACGCCTGGCTTCGATTCTGGTTTTAACTGAGAAAATGGCTTGTAAAAAAGGGGTCCCAGTTAAAATTACTAAATTAGGTCCTTTATCGTGATTTTATAGAAACTTTGGGGTGAATATCGAATAACTACAAAAGAACGAGGACTGAAAAGAAAACCCAAAGAACGCGAGTAGTGGACGTAAATGCGATCCGGAGAATCTTCTCTTACCCACCAATAAGGTTGTGACGTCACCGATTCCATTTCCGAAGGAGAGTCCAAAAGATAGAACTCCAAATCCAAACAATCGGTCGTGTGATATGGTTCCTAAATCTATAATTCCAACCAAAATATCCTAATCTCGTAAAATTAAACAAATTTAGAAAACTGTTATAATTGAAGTCAATCACTGGATTTTGCAATATATAGTGTCATTATACGCATTTCTATGTTATCTCAAAATTTATTATAAAATTAATTTTATATCCTTTTCAGCAATATTTTTAGATAAAGAAAAATGTATTTCGATAGTACTGCCTGTCGACCATCAAATGTTGTCCACCGCTACTCAACAAGAAGAAACAGTAACAGATATATACAGTACCAATATCTATATAGTTAATTCATTAATCCTATGCATATTGGAATATATATTACTAATCTTTCACATACTATGTTGTTGGAGCACATTTTACAAAAAAAAAAAATAATTTGGAAATTGTAATATTTTTCTAAAACGTTGTTATCTAATCTAATGATGGCGACATTATTTTTTTTTAAAAGTGCATAATCAATAATGACTAGGTAATGATCTGCGTACATCGCGCTGAATTTTTTTCGTCGTATTTTTGTTTATCTAATCCGTCACGGTCCGTTACAAACTATTCGATTATTTGATGAAGGAGTTGATTTAGTTTTTTATTTGTGACGAATATTTTGTGAACGATGTAGGATGCTAAAAATTTTCATTTAATTCTTATCATTTTATTTTGTATTAATCATTTAATATCTTCTTATGTAATATATACTAATTTTTTTCCATAGCCAATCAAAATTTAAGAAACTTACATGTAAGATACTTAGGTGTTATATATATCTATACAATATTAAATCATTATATATATCTATATAAATAAGTTGTTATATATAGTAATATTTTGTTCATAATAATTCAATTTACTTTTTTTTCAGTTGAATTGATTTTGAAATATACTTAATGCTTCCAACTATTAATATGTAAAAATTTATTTTTTTTAAAGTCTCATTGTCCTAATACCTTTTTTTATTATAAAAATTTTCCATCCGAATTTGAGATGATTATGTGAAAACTCATCAATAAGATCATATAAATAAGACATTATAACATAATTGGTTAATAAATAGTTTGATTCTATACCCGATGCAATGAGTGTTTTCAAAATATAAGCTAGTAGATTAAGTAGAATCTTTTAATTTTTTCTTGATAACTTGTAGCATGAATTCTTCAGCAAATCATTGAAATGATTATAAATATAGAGCGGGCATTGAAATAATGTGTATATAGTTGAAACCAATGCATGCCTTTATA